CATTTGATGTTTCTCTTCCCCTCTCTCTCCAGCCCTTCCCCTCTCTCTAAGATCACTAACAATGTCCCCAGGTGAAGTTTTTTGTTTTTTTTTTATTGTTGATCAGTAAAAAGAACTACAGTCCCATAAAAAACAACTCATAATCTCATTACTTAGGGAAAATACCATTGTTAACATCAGCTTGTTTCTTTATGCAGACACATAAATTTATCATATTTATAGTAAACACACAGTTTTCTAACAAGTTCCTCTTAGTGTGGTATGTACACATCTTTCTGGTATTTCTTTTCAGATGATAATGTCTCTATATGTGTATATCTTAACTTACTAAGCAATTATTTTGTGGATTTTTTTTATTCCTAGCTATTGTTATGATAGACATTTAAAGTGTGTTAAACCATGTTTCAACAATGTGTACCTTTGAGCACTCATCAGATTACTTCCTCAGAAGGAATCCCTAGAAGTGAAATTGCTGAGGGTTGATATATACTGATGTTCTCTTCCCTCTATAATCTATTAATATGCTGTTTTAGTATAGAACTCTCGACTCCATTTCTCTGTCCAGCTATTCAGCATCATTTCTTTCTTTTTTAAGATTTTTATTTATTTATTTATTTATTGTTTAAACAGAGGAGAAGAGAGGGAGAAAGAGGGAGAGAAACATCAATGTGTGGTTGCCTCTTGCACAGCCCACCGAGGACCTGGCCTGCAACCCAGGCATGTGACCTGACTGGGAATCAAACCAGTGACCCTTTGGTTCACAGGCCAGTGGCCAATCCACTGAGCCACACCAGTCAGGGCTCAGAATCATTTCTTTTCTCCCCTTTAAGCAACATAACTTGAGTTGTTTATATTCACTGACTCCAATTCTTCTCCCTTTCTCTTATAACCGTCTCAGGAAGGCTTTTTCCCAACCGCTCCACCAAAATTGCCCTTGTACAAATAATAAATGACACATCTTCCCCACATTTTGTTAAGTGCAGTGGTAAATTTCATTATTATCTTACTTGATCATACAGTAGCTTTTGAGACAGTGATCATTTCCTCAATCTAGAAACATTTTTTTCCCCCTTCAATTCCTGGCCAGCACACACTCTTGGTTTCTTGACTGGCCACTTACTCTGTCTCCCCATTTGCAGTGGGAATGGAGCATTGTCACAGGAAAGCATGGGGCACGCGTGCTCCTGGATCTGAGGGTTACTATCCTGAGCCAGGTGAGGAGGGAGCAGGGCTCTGAATCCTGCAGAGCCTGTCCCAGAGTTGTCACGGATGGGGGAAATAAACATGAGTCATTGCAAACACTTCTCTGTTTGCTGGGAGAGGGCACATGGCTCTTCCCTCTAGTGGAAAAGGCCCCAAGCCCCTTTTTCCAAAAGCTTTTATTGAAAAGGTTCTAAGTGGGGATAGGCAATAAGAATGTACAGGTGATCTCATTACATCAGTATGTTAATGTTTACAGAGAATAGATGATGTTTTGAAGAAAACAAATGGCAGGAACACACCGATTTACATGGGTCCGAGAGGAGACTCATAAACATGAGAACATAAACATGAGAGCGCCAAAGGGTATAGGGTCAGGGTCTCTGAATAATGTAAGTTTTCTTCCCAGCATGAGCTGACTACCATAGCTCTTGAGGGAGAAACAAAGCATGCTTTAAAGAATTTACCTTCAGGCCTGACTTCCCCTGAGAACCGCCTGATCCAGTTTAGGACTGTCTCCAGTATTGTTTTGAGCCTGAGCGAGGTGTGGGGAGGGAGCCACCAAGAGACAAGGAGGCTTCTTTCAGATAGAATGAGGACTTTGGCCACGTTCAAGCCAAGCCAAGGGGTGCGGGCCTTTTTTCCCTTTCTCCATGTCCCCCAGGTCCTTATCTGCTGCCCATACTGGCCCATGGCTGTCTTAGGTTGTCTCTCCTTGTGAGATAACTTACCTGTCATTGACTACCGACCATCACAGGGCCAAGCAGGGCGATGTGAGGGGGACAGGTTTCATCTCCTCAGTGGCCTGCTTTCCCAAAGCCTCCTTGATTATTTCCAGGCGTGGAGCCCTCTTGCCCGTCGGCGGGGTTACCGTTCCTGAAACCAGACAGGACGTTTCCCAACACCCATTCTGTTGACACTCATTCTCTTGGTGATCTCATTGTCTCCTAGTTTTTTAAATTTTTATTTCTATTTTTCCATTACAATTGACGTTCAGTATAATTTTATATTAGTTTTAGGTGTACAGCATTGTGGTTAGCCATTTATATCATTTACAAAGTGATTTCCCCGATAAATCTATAGTACCCACCCAGAACCATAGTTACTGCAAAATTATTGACCATTCTCCCTTAGCTATACTTTATACCTACCCCTGTGACTATTTCGTAATTGCCACTTTGTATTTCTTAATCCCTTCTCCTTTTTCACCCAGCCCCCTCACCTCTCTCCCACCTGACAAGCATCATTTTGTTCTCTGAATCTGTGGGTCTATTTCTGTTTGTTCATTTGTTTTGTTCTCTAGATTCCACATAAGTGAAATCATATGGTATTTGTCTTTCTCTGACTTATTTCACTTAGAATAACACCTTTTATAGATTCATTCATGTTATTGCAAATTAAGTCTCATAGTTTTATATACCATGTTGCTGCCAATGAGTCCCAACTATTCTCTATGGTTTTGTCCGAACTCCTAAATGCTAAATTCAAATATCCGAATTCATTGTAAAATTAACAGGTCCAAAACTCAACTCCCAATCTTAAAAAAAAATAAGACCTGCCCCATCGGGTCTTTCCTCACCTTCGTAAATGACAATAGTCACGCTTTCAGTTGATGAAGCCTAAAACAGAATCCTTCTTGGTCTTTTTTCATCCTACACCGTGTTCAGTTCAAGAAATCTTGGTTCTGTCCCTAAAATATATCTAGAATCTAGAATCTCACCACCTCTATGCTACTACTCTGGGTCTATTATTTCTCCCCTGAATTATTAAAAGTCCCTAACTGGTCTCCCTGCATTTGCCCTTAATCCCTGTTTCTATTTCACACAGAGGCATGAGTCATCCTTTTAAAATGGAAGTCAGATCTCATCACTCCTCAGCATTCCACCAGCCTTGCCCTCTCTGCTGCCAGACCACCTCCATGTACACTTTCTGACCATATCTCCTACTTTCTTCCTGGCTTGCTGGTCCAGCCACTCTGACCTGCTAGCCATTCTGAGAACTTACCAGGCATGGGAGTGCCTCAGGGACTTTGCACTGGCTGTTCCCTTAGTCTGCACTGCTCTTCCCTCCTACCTTCTTTGCTCAATTCCCTGCAGCAATAGCGTTTTGCAATCACCTTCCCTATGAGATCCTAAATGACTTTCCCCATTAAAAGTGCTCCCCTCCCTTCAGCATTTACTTTGTGCTTCTGCTCTTTTTTCTCCATAGCATTAATCACCTTCTGATATATTTTTTTATTTGTATAATTTGTTTCTCTTGGCCCCCAAAAACAGATCCATGAAAGCAAGAATTTTTGTCTTATTATTCAGTGCTGGAGGAGAGTCAACATTACAGATGTATATTTAATGCTTTTGATCTGGACTTCCAAGTTGAAGATATTTAAACAAGTAGATAAGGTGGAGAACGACGGTCCATGTTGAGGACATGGTATTGGCAAAGGCTCTGACACACAGAAAAGAGCGCACTGGTCACCAGGTGCTTCTAGTGTGTCAGCATGAGGATATAGGATTGACTTAAAACAGACCCATCAATAGTACAAGGTAACATGTTAACTGAAAGCACAAAATCAACTTCCTCCACAATAAGAAATAAGATGGTGAAATGACAAAGGAGTTCTCCATAGGATGCTGATCAAAGCACTGAGAAACTCAGTGGAAACTTTTATCATAAATAAGAAGTTTGGCAAACTGCCAAATTGTATTGGGCGAGCAGCTATTTTTGAAGAGGTGATGAAAACTATGGATCCCTCCAAGAAAATTGGATGTATCTGCAGATTTGAGTTCACCACCCCCTGAAACCTATGCATAGACCACCATGGGCCAGGGGTTGATAATCCTAATTAAGAAATAAAAAAGTCCCAATTAAGAAATATTATTTTAGCATCATGACAGTCACTTGAATGAAATGATGCTTAAGTAAGTATATGGGTAGTTGCAATATTGAGTTGTAACAATTTGGGTAAATATTTGAAGCTTAACTTTACTTTCCTAAAATAAAAAGAATTCAACCACCATGCCTTAAATGTTTTCCCAAATTTCCTCAAATAGACTTAAACATCCCAAAGTTACCTCAGTGACCCTTCAAACTGAAAGTTTCTTATTTTAAGCTTGATACAAATAATTTTATAAAGTTCACAAGATAATCAGAAGAAAAACTATTTAGGTATCAGTAATTTGATTTTTTTTTTTTTAAACTGAAACCAGCAAACATTCCAGCCAAATAGTCTGAGCTATTGTCTGTCTGGCTTCTGTACAACTTTATCATTAGCATCTTTCATCTAAATAATTTACTGAAATGTTATTAATGAGCCTTGCTTCTCTACCAAATACCCCTTCTCTCTGTACCAGAGAATCCAGAAATAATGAAAGGAAATGCAGCTTAGATAGTTTTTCTTGCTCAGCTATATCTCTGGAGAGGGATGTGGGAAGAGAAGGGAGAGGGTCTTGTTTACATCTAAATATAAACAGTTCCTATTCGCTGTGACCATTCGTTGCACTGTAGTAATGCTAATGCAGAGAACTCCTCTGTCTGAAATCTATTCTGTAGCTGATATTTGATACCAACCCTGACGGTGATAAAGGCCACAGAAGCAAATACAGAGGCACTGAATTTAAATGCAGTCAGTCCTGAGAGGTCTGTCTGGTTGGTCTCTTTTTCCCTGTTGTCACTCATTACAAAACGAGTTTACCAGCAGCATCAGCCCAGCACATCCAAGCTGGATGCAGGCCAAGAACAGGCAGCACTGTTGAAATCTGGGCAGCGAGGTGGAAGGGTGCGTGGTGCACCAGTTGGATGAAAACATGCAAGGACTGTGGGGCAGCAGCTGGAGGAAGTTTGGACCCGCCGGCAGGGGCACATACGAGTGGTTAACTAGCGAACCAAGCCTCCCTCTCCAGGAAACCCAGCTGCAGGTCTGTACCTATGACTTCTGCCTTTTCTTCCCCAAAGTAGGTCCGTTTTTAAACCAACAGTGCCTGTCTATTTCAGGTCTTAAAACTTAGTGGCAACATTTGGCATCCTGAGTAAAACAAAAATGTGATTTCACTGATTGGTGTGGTCTAAGGAAGTAACTTGAAAGTTGTATTCTTGTGACAATGTTAAATTCAAATAAAACTTGCCTCAAATATATTCTCAGAATACCTAATCTGTCAAGTATGTCAAAGAACACCTGAGTTAGGAGACAACAAAATTTTATGCCTTGGCTTTACAACTTTGTTCTTTGCTCAGTAAGCCATGTCTAGGTAAACGACATAAGAAACTCCATGTGGCTCTCCAGCTATGTAACTGCTGTTTCTAAGAGGTGCTGGAAACCAAGCATCTTACTTCTGAAAGGGTAGCAGGGGGATAAGGAGGTTCTGTCTCTACTACGGAATGCAGCGGCTGCTTTGCCCTGCCTCGGAAATCACCAAAGAAGCCTTGATCTGAGCTCACATTGAGGGAAAACATTGGTAGAAACCTAACAACTCAATTCACTTTGTCATCAGCAGGGAAATGAGTGATACTGCCATCCCATAAAAAAGGGAAATGAAACTATTTTCTGGTTTTCTGGAAAAATCAACTCATCATATTGTTATATTTAAGTTCTGCAAATCACCTTTTACAGAAGAACACTTACACATGTATACATAATAATATATTTTTCAGCAGTTACACTTTTAACTGGATATTTCCTTAAAACATTCCCTGAACAACAAAGCCCATGTGTCAATATACACATCAAAAATATAGTAAATGTTACGAAACTACTTTGAAAGAACTAAACAAATTAGGACATTTGACTGAAAAAAACATCCATTCTGCATTTTAAAAAATTAGAACAATTTGAACCCACATATCATGAATCAGTAAATAAGCAAATTAAGGTTACCATAAACTTGTCCTATAGTTCTATGCATCTCTTAACTAGAAAACAAGAATTCTTTATCTCAAGATATTGTCATAATGTGCTGTATTAGATAAGCAGTGTTACTCAGTATTTGGACAAATTTAACTCAACCAAAGGAAGTACTGATTACTAGAGAGGACTGTGGTGTTTCTCCTTCTACAGATTTTTACTAGTATTGATAATACAAAAAGGGGTATAATTGTGAATAATAGGGTTTATTACATCAAACCTTTTAAATAGAACATTAAAGATCTTTACATTTCATGCATATTGAACTTGCAGAGTATAATATAATACTTAAATGTTGATGCCACAACTGTTCAGGAACCATTATCATTCATATACTTGATGGAGAATAAAGAAAAGTTGTGCAAAATGGTCCATGTTTATCAAGATTGAAGAATGACTGTTTTAAGTACTAAGAGATAATAGCTTTAAAATTTTTAATGATTCATTTAGAGGGAGAAAATAAACACAGTTAAGTGGCTTTTTGAGTCCAATTTCATTTCTTAATAATTGTAATACATTATTTATTAGTCCATGTACTCTTACGGGTTTTATAGTCAAAGTCCCTTATTAAATCACAACAGGTTTTAAGTGAATAGTTCTGATAATAAACTAGATTATGTGTGAGAAAACAAAGAATCTATAATTCAGAAATCACATAGGTAAAAATATTTTCACATGCAAATATTAATGTTGCTAAAATATTTTCTCTGAAAAGATATATCTATTAAAATATAAACTTAGGAATGCCAAATTTTTCCTGCACCATATTTTTTCAGCCTTATCAATAAATTTCTAGGTGACTTCTGGTTGTTTTCAGTATTTAATTTTCTAGTTTATTGGACTATTTGAGACACCAAGATATAAATATATAAATAACTATTAGTCACCAACTGCTTTATACATACTGCTTCATTAAATTCTCATGCCAACCCGTTCAAAAAAATGTTATTTTCATTTCATAGAGAAGAAAACCCAGGCCCAGAGGGTACAAGTGAATGGTGACGGTCACAAGGTATTAATTAGAAGGTACACTGGAATCCAAAGCCAGAGCTGTCAACCCCAAAGATGACACTCTGCTTCCCAACAAAACCTTTACTTTTTATGCACTTTAAGCTAAAATATGTATACTCATACTTAGCTTTGACTGAGTCAAAGATACTCATATCTTACCAAAGACAAAATATCTGGCAGTACAAATATTAAATATACTACCTCATTTCCAGTTAAAATAACACACATAATTGAAAATTCTTTTTAAAATTGTATTATTGTTGTTCAATTAGTTGTCCCCCTTTTCCCCCCATTACTCTCCCCGTGCCCTATCCACCCCCACCTCCCACAATCTTCCCCCTATAGGTTAATTGAAAATTCTTTAAGAAGTATAAATGATTATATAGTCAATGCTAGATAAGCCAGTCTTTAAACAGGTTATAACCAGAAAAACAATTGTCCGTTCCAAAAGCAAGAGAACCCCAGCTCTGTTTTATTTTAAATAAATAGATAAAAACCTTAGTATTTTGTTTGTCTTAAACACAACAATAAGGCTTTCATTTTTTTCTCTTCCTCTTATTGGTGGATACAAACATTTACATTTGTTGCTTATACCTTATATAATAACATTTTAAATATTTTAGTATTTCTAGTGTTTTTAGTAGCTTTATTTAAAGCAACATCCTGCAATTTGGAACAGTATTTATTTATTTTTTGTATTACTTTTCCATCTTGCTGTTGAAGTATCGTTTCATGTTTATGATAGTATTTACCCCACCAAGACTCACCGCTATCTCCTGAGCTAGTGCGATGAAATCAACACCTTGTCGGCTGCTTAAGAATTTACGTGCAATTGTTCTCCTTAAAAGAGTTTAAATTTTTTCATATGTATCCTACAAATAATGCAAAAACAAATTGAAATTTTAAAATCTCAGTCATCATAAGAATCAGCTATCAAATCAGATTCAAATTGTTATTTACATGTGATATGAACAAAATGTCTGACTTTGTTCCATAACTAAACAAATTAAGTGCCATACGATTCTTTTGTGGCAATAAAATATTATGGGTCTAATTCTAAATAAAAGACATAAATAGTACAAGATATTTAAAGAATGCATGGTGGACCTACCATCTAAAATTCATTCTAATAATTATACTTTAGTGACAATATCGTAGATACCATCCATGTGTATGCTGAACATTCTAAATTCAGACTTTATCTTGTCAATTCAGTCTATTTCACGTAGGTCCGAGCTTACTGGCATAAATGAATATGTGATTTTTCTGAGTGAGTGACAAGAAGAATAAGAGATGAGAGAAATGCAGGGACTTCTCTTGCCGTCTAACTCAGTCTGGTCCCCCAACTCCAGGGCACGCAGAAGATAAGTTCCGCCAAAGACGACGTGGAGCCCTTCCTGTGCATCCTCCTTCCAGCCACCATCGTGCTCTTCCTGGCCTTTCTGCTGCTCTTCCTGTACCGCCTCTGCAAGGCCCGGCGGCCCCAGGGCCAGGTGTTCAGCATCGACCTCTCCGAGCACCCGCCGGGGGGAGAGGAGGCCGACTTCCTGCCAGGCTTACCCTGGGGTGGTGAGCAGGACTTCCCCTACTCTCCTCTGCCCAGGGAGGTGGCCCCCCACTCCGAGTGTTTGCCACCCTCCTACGAAGAGGCCACCCGGAATCCCCCTGCAGCAGAGGCCCCGGGTGTCGGTCTCCGGTATGAGGAGGGCTCACCTGGACTGAATGTGCCAGTATAAACTGCTCTGGGAAGCCATTGAAAACACAGCTGTCAACTCTTAATGGGGCCCAGGGGAGAGGCAGACAGGGAAGGGCAGCTGGCCCAAGAGCAGACCGGGGGACGAGTGGGGAAAGGCTGGACAACGTCAGGCCAGGGAACCCATCAAGTTCCTTAAGGAAGATGTCCCCAGGTGGTTCTAAAGACGATTGGGCTCTTCTGAAATGTACAACACCCCTGATGAGAAAAAAGGACAGCTCTACGTGAGATGAGAAAAAAATATTAGAATTACTAGTGAGCCTAAGAACAAGCTCTGAAAGATGACAGAAAAATGCTGATAGGCCAAAGGCAACTGCTCGTGCTACCAAATAAAACTTTTCTTCCTACACAGGTGTTTCAGGGCCTCATGGTTTGACTTTTGTGTGAGGGCGCCAAGATGGCTAGAGGGTCCTAGAAGGAGCTATTGTGGTCAACCGTGTTGTAAATAATAGCAAAATAGGTTTTCATAGTAATAATGAAAATACAGACATTTGCATACATTTTAGTTCAAAAATATAATAAAGCTCTCCAAAACAATCTCCTTTTTAGTGTTGCTCTTGCTTCCTAGGATGGGTGAGAATTTGGCTGAGTGACGTGGGGACATCTCGCACCAGAATATCAGGGTTGATGGGCAGCACAGCTGTGGCAGGACATTGTTTCTCTAACACGTTACCTTAGGGGCCACTGTGACTGAGCGTGAGGTCTTCACCACGCAGCAGTGACAGTAGAAATCAGCTTAACATTGGAAAGGAAAGGTCCAAATTTTGGATCACATGAAAATCACCGATTAGCTCGAAACTTATAAATCACATAGTTCAAATTCTTGCTTCACGGGTGTGAAAACTAGAGTTCAGAGGCTAAGTGACTCATCCGATGTTCCGTACCTCAGAAGAGGCAGAGCTGGGACCAGAAGCCGGGCCCCTCTGCCCTGGGCCGCAGCGCCTTCCACGGTGCCGGACGTTCTCCCAAGAAAACTGCGAATGTGCAATTTCAGTCCATGCTCCCAACTGGGGGTCAGGCCTCTCAATGGGATGAACAAAACGAAGTGTGGACTGGATACAAATCTCCCTTTGTGATTTTCACCTGGGGAGGTGGAGGTGTGTCACGCACCACATGGGAGACCAATCAAAATATCCATGAAGTTGGGAAGGCGGCAGGAAGGTGATACGTATAGTCCTTAAACTCTTATTCCATGATACAACTTATTGGGAAAATATTTTTCCTTTTATCACAGTACAAAAGGCAAAATGAGACAACCCTTCAAATAATACACAGTGTTATTTGAAAAAAGATACACAGTGTGGTACAGTTTTAGGAAAATAATCTAAAAGAGGATACACTTCTTTTTAAATGTAATCTGATAGAAATAATAGTAGATTTGAGGACTGAAGCAATATATAACCTATTTGAAAAATTAAAAGTTCTTTCAGGAAAATTTTACTGAACAATTCCCTAGTGGTCGTTAAGGGGCATGAATAAATAAATGGAAATGAGAGGCTCAGTGACAGCTTTCTTCAGGTTGGTTTGTTTTTTTAATCCTAAGACTCCAGTTCTGCGTGAGACTATTTTGATTCTCTTCCAACGGCCATTTCTTCCATTTCCTTGTTCACAAAACCCTGATTTTGGTTCTGGGATCCAAGGCCACTAACGTCAGGCAGAGCAGATCCCCCCAACTCCAGGGGATATATCGACACGTCATGACAATTAATCATGGTGATCTTGCCTTCACCAGGGACTGATTTGGTTTTGGGGACTATGAGGAGGCCTACACAGGAGGAGGAGGAGAGGCTTGTTTTAAAAGAGGTTGCCTAATATTAAAAATACACACATGAAAGGAAATACTTTGGCTCTTTGCCAGATATTATGTGTCTGCAGGTGATGTCTGGGGCTGCTGCAGCCTTCTTGCAACCATGAGCAAGGCAGCAGCCAGGGCTAATATTGAACATAGATAAGTAGAAAGGTGGAAAACACCTGGGTTGATGGTCCTGTAGGGAAACCAAACTAACCCTGCAACTATCTATATATTAATAAGAGAATACCCTTCCTACTGCTTTAAGCCATTTAACCCAAGCATGTTACTTACAAAAGAAAAAGCATATCCACCACTACAATTTCTAAGGCTATTAAGGAAATACATTGCCATATTTAAAAATGTTCTGGTAAGACTTCTTTGAAATAAGTAGTCAATGCTAGGACTCATTTATAATGTTATCTGTGATCTAGGGAAGGAAACTATTGTTCTCTTATGGAATCACACTGAAGCAGTGGAGAAAGAAACTATTAACCAGGGCTGCCCAACCACAGCCCGCAGGCCTGATCCCACTTGCAACCTGTTGTTGTATATCATGCGAGACAAGAATGGTTTCCACATTTTTAAATAATTGAAAAAAAATCAAAAGAAGAAGAATATTTCATGGCACATGAAAATTAAATGAATTAAAACTTTGGCATCTACAAATAAAGTTACTGGAACACAGCCATGCCCACTTGTCTATGTCTGTTCCATCACAGATGAGTAGTTGCAACACAGACTGCCAAAGCCCGAAATATTTACTCTCTGGTTCTTTTTAGAAATTACTTGCTGCCCCTTGGTATAGACCAGTGGATCTCAACCCTAGATTCATGGTAGAATAACTCAAGAAACTTAAAAACACTGACACCAGGACCCACTTAAATCAATTAAACAGAAATACATCCAGTGATTCTAATATGAAGGCAAGGCTGAAAGTCATTGTTCTAGGTAATGTGCATGGACCCCAAAATACAGGTGGGCTTCAATGTAGACAGACGTACAGTGGCAGGCTTAGAGAAAACTAGATTTATAAATCTAGCTTTGAGCCCTCGTTTTATAACCCAACATTCTCTGTAAACTCCTCCCTGATGCTATCACTCTAACATGCACCTGCAGTCAATTGAGTTCACCAAGCAGGGTTTGCAAGCACAATAGTAGGAACAACAGTGGAGACAATCCATCCTTGTGTGAATGTTGACAGCGGGCAAACACAGGGAGCACTGGCTGTTAACGACCCAAGAACGAATGAGTAGCATTGAAGAATATCCACAAACAAAAGAACAAAATCGTTAACAGCTAAGAAGTATTTTGGGTGAAATACTCATAGCCAGAAAAGATTAAAAATTGGAGGAAGTATAATAAAAACAGTGACTAGAATGTGCACATTTTTACTAAACTCTACCCAGAAAACAAAGTGGCATCAATGCATTTTTTATAGAAAGAAAAAGGAGTCCAGTTCCTGGTCTGGCATATAAGAAGCTTGGAAGTCACCGCTCCAACCTAATGACAAGGAAAAGCTGAACCAGTTGAAAATCCAACAACTCCCCTTAGTTCCATCAGAGAACTGAGGTCACTAACCACTGCCCCCCAAACCTGAGAAACAGATGGGCAGATAACAGAGGGTCACGACTCACCGGAGCAGAAATCCACCAGCAGAAGCCTCCTGGGATCCAGTGTCAGGCAGGGAAATTGAACTGTGATTGAAGGCTGCCGGAGGCGCAGAGAGGACAAACCTCAGGATTAAATACCCCGGAAGACCCCACGCTGTGTACATTCTGCCTCCAGGACCCTTACCAGGTTCTCACAGTGAAGGCCTGAAAAAAATCCCCTGGTGCTTCTAGCAAGAGGAGGGGAAAAGGACCCACCTCGAAATGCACCAGAGCCTTCTGTTCTTAACAAGGCCTGCCCTCAGGAGAAGCTGTTTAAGTGGAGTCTAGCCTGCCTGGTCCAATCGGAGCCTAAGTGACCTGGGGGAAGGGAAATACCCACCCCCCTGGGCTCTAGCCATCCACTGAGGAAGGAAGAGACCCAACTCCAGCCCCTCTAGCCATCTGGTTCCATTTACAGGGATGCGAAACAAAAACCAGAGCAGCACTTGTGAAGTTCACATCCCAGAGGCACAGGCTGACTAGACACCCAGTCAGAGGACTATGAACACTCTCCCCAACACACACCTACCCTCTGCATTAATTAAAGGCCTACTTACTGCAATTTCTTTTACCCAGTACATCAAGTCCACCTTCCAGGACAAAATTGCAAGGCATATAAAAAAGCAAAAAACACAGTTTGAAGAGCCAGAGCATCAGAATCAGATTCAGATATGGGCAGGATGTTGTTGGAAGTGTCAGACCAGAAATGTAAAATAACTATGATTAATATGCAAAGAGCTCTAATGGGAAATGTAAACAACATGCTAGAACAACATGCAGTGTCAGCAGAGAGATGGAAATTCTAAGAAAGAACAAAAAAATGCTTGAGATAAAAAACACTGTAATAGAAATGAAGGCCATTGATGGGCGGATTAAAAAGCTGCACGCAGCTGAGAAAGAATCTCTGAGCTTCGGTGCACGTTAATAGAAATTTCCAAAATGGAAAAGTAATTTTTAAAAAAACCCACAAAACAGAATATCCAAGAACCGCAAGACAAGAAATATTCAAGTCATGAAAAGCAGGGACCTACAGCCAAGATTGTTCTACCCAGCAAAGCTATCATCTAGAATCGAAGAGCAGATAAAGAGCTTCCCAGACAAGAAAAAAATAAAGGAGTCCATCATCACCAGACCATTATTATGTGAAATGTTAAAGGGACTTATTTAAGAAAAAGAAGATGAAAACTATGAACAATAAAATGGCAACAAATGCATATCTATCAACAATTGAATATTTTAAAAAAGCAAACAAGAAGAACAGAGACAGAATCATGGATACAGAGACCGTTTTTGATGGTTGGCAGATGGGAGGGGGTACAAGGGAAGGGGTGAATAGGTGGTGGGATTAAGAAGTATAAACAGGTAGCTACAGAACAGCCATGGGGATGTAAAGTACAGCATAGGAAATGGAGCAGCCAAAGAACTTACATGCACGACCCATGGGCATGAACAATGGTGTGGGGATTTACCCGAAGGAGTGGGTGGGGCTGGGTGGAGGGGGGCAAAAGGGGGAAAATCAGGACAACTACAATAGCATAATCA